AGCTCGATCTGTACAAAAATGGGAAGAGGGGTGCGTGGGTTGGGATGAGAGGTGTAGGGGGAGGATTGGGGCCTGTCGAAGGTGGCTGCTATCCTCAGGCTACGTGTAGAAGAGAACGCGATTGGAGTGGTGGCGGCGGGGGCGGTGGTGGGGGTCACTGGGACGGTGGAGGGGGGAGTGGTTGGGTGGGGGGTTGATGGGATACGTCTGACGGGGCATAGCGGGGAAGAGGACCCTCCATCCGGTGGGGGATAGCCCTGAGGAGGGTACCCCTGGGGAGGGGCTTGGGGGTAGTAGCCACTGTGTGTCGAATCTCGTCAGTCTCGTGTCGGTGGCGGACGGCCGTAGTTCATTGTCCAGGCTCATTTGGCAGTTTGCGACCAGTCACCCGCAGGGCAAACTCGAGTGCTTCAATCGCCGTCGGAAAACAAGGGCCACAGCCAAACGCAGGATCGTGGGGAGGATAGGCACATACCCCTGCTGAGGAGGATATCCAGACATGTTTTGGTTGCGGTTGCGACGGTGAAATTCACGGGGATCTCGCTGTTGACTTTGCAAAAGGAATCAACAGATGAAAGGGCGGTGGATGACCTTTTTGACAGTCGACGACACGCGGCGGGAACAGGCAGGTGGATTCACTGAGCGCTGCGTGTCGCCAGGATTGATTCATTAGGTCTGTGGTCGCGCCCAGGGGGCCAAGCTCCGCCAAGGAAGGTCATGATGCCGTCTCATCCGAGTGTCTGGCTGCAGTGCGCAATGATACCAGGAGGCCGCCCTGCGCACCTCCAAACAGTCAATTATGTTTCGATCGACGGGGCATATTTTGGCATACCTATAAATGCTCCGTACAGCAATTCCCATTACTGAGTGTGGTGCCTTGTTGAGTCTGGTGTCCAAACCACTGCAAACAGGTTATTATTGGGTTTGGCGCGCGCCATCACAGATCGGCGCCACAGTCGGATCACAGTGGGGCCGTTCCCGGGTATCGGCCTTGGCAGAACTCAGGGTCCTCTTCCTCCCGGCTCACGGCACCTACAGAGGCCTGGACCCTCCGGATCTGTGCAACGGAGATAAGGATAACCATCGACCACCAAAAAGAAACAAGACACCAGAAATCTCATAAATCCGCGACTTCATGAGGTCCATCCAATGCAGCATAGAGTAAATATGCGGATACTGAAGGGAAAATATCACAGGCGCCGTCAGTCGGTTTCTGATTTGGGTTCCATGACGATCATCGGACCCACTGGCAATGCCGTTTTCTTTGAAGATGCCAAGAAACCGTGTAAACAAACCCCCCTGATCTAGCACGCTGTGCCCCTGAATGAGATAGATACACCACTGTGACATAATGTCTGTACAGCGTTGGAGGACCTTGGAACAAGCCCTCTCCACCCCTTAACTATTCCTTTGTTACAGCTTGAACAATATCGGAATCTGGACGTGGACAATTTCCATTTCCGTTCTGGGACCTGAGCAGTCGCCGCTTTAACCTGACCAGAAGTGGAGATATCCTGAGCAGTGGGAGTAAGAGCCTGAGTAAGGCCTAAGCAGGGTGAGCAAAGTATGGAGCAGGGTGAGCAAACTCTAAGTACGGTAAGTAATAGTTAAATCTACCTAAGACTAGGCTAGAGGTAAACTATAGTAGAGCTATTTTTAAAGTATATACCTATTCTACGGTAATTATTAATAATATTATAGAGGGGTTTAAATAGAAGTGATTAAAAATTAAAGTAAATAAAGGAAGAAAGATTTATTATTTAGTATGTTTCTGGGTTAGAGATATTGGCAGACAGGTTTGTAAAGGTATTATAAAGGGAAAAATCCGCGAAGTTTATATAGTTATGAGGAATGCGAGATTTTCCGGGTCAAGATATATAAAAGGACGTATTTTAACTAGGGAAAAAAGCTATTAGAGTATGGGAAAAAGAAGTTAAGGGACACGGAAGGCATGTATTAAGCTTAGGAGGATATTCGTAATAGCTTCAGTTTTAACGGCAGTGTACTGTTTGTGGGGGGGGGGGGGGGGGGGCCTGCAAGGCCCACGTCTTTCACCAGACCCACAGCTGGTGTTTGCTACTGGGGTATATTTCTGTTGGTTTTCCACACTCTGTAATTTTACCTGAAAAAAACCACAATAATATCAATTTGTTGATCAATTCTCCTGCTTTTCTGGCCTCACTTTCGCGTGCAGCGACTTCACTAGGCCGCCGCCCTACACAAGATGCCTCAATGTAAACACTCAGGATACCGTGAATACAAGCTGTGATTGCATACTGCGGAAGTATCTACTCTAGCCAACTAACCAAGTGTTGTCCACTGCTTTCGCGAGAATCCAAAAGCTTCTGGATCAAATTCTCAGACATTTACTGTAGCCCTCTGATGCCGTAGTACCCCGGTGTCAGGCTCTCGTCGGAAGACAACAGGGTCTTGTTTTGTCCTTCCTTTATTTTGATGTTAAATCGGGTGGCTTAGTAGGATTCCCTTTCTCCCTCTAAGATGGAGCCGATGAAGGGGTAAAGGTCAGCTTATCCTTTGGTCAAGTTCTCGCCACTTGATGTCTGGGTAGCATTTCGATCCCCAGATGTCTTGTGCAGAATGCTTCCTGTGTCTAATGCAGAACCTCTGCATGAACGGGACTGTTTGGCGGGGGTTGGCTTCTTGGTGTTCAGTGAGAAGGTCTCGGTCGACTTCTTTCTTACAAAGAGGGCAAACCGCTGGTTTGAGCGCGGGGAGATGTATGGGAGACACTGGCGGTTCTGATAGAGAGCAGATGAATGGGTATTGAAGAGATTTGAGTTTTCCTTCTGAGAGCTTTTGTGCTTTTTGGGGCCGATCCCATTTGCCACTCGGATTATCACTGAACTGTGAAGAGTCTTGCGCGGACTCCTGCGAGTCAGGTATAACAAACTGAGAGCTTAGAATGGCCCCCAGATCTTGACGGGGTGCTTCCCTGGTTGAGCTCGACATCATCTGCTTCAGCCCAGGAGATCAGCCCTGCTCCTCGAGGGCTGTGTGGTGTTTGGGACCCAATTGCTGTGCCTGGCCTCGAGCTTGGAGTGAACAGAGTCAGACGGATGTGGGATAAATAAGGTACCATATATTTTCGGCTTCGCTCGGACTGCTCTGTGCTCTTTTTCAGTAAGGAGTGAAATTCGAGAGCTTCAAGAAAGGTGCAGAAAGTGCCCTAATATATTTCATCAGGCCAACTAGGATCAGCTTTTAGTAATCCGGGGCTCTCGGCTGCGAAGTCTGACCCCTGGAAGATACGGAGACATTGTGGATGAACGCTTTAGCTCGGTGGTGTTGCAGGATTCATAAGATCCTGCCGTCGGCTACGCCGGGTATCCTGCGACATTGGGGTTGAACCGTGTAATCACTGTCGGGTGCTAGTAAGGTTAGTCGTCATGTCGGGTAGCTGTGGACAGCAGTGAGTGTCCATACCACTGTGCACTTTGACGATTCCTGTGACAAGGGCTGGAGTTCAGGGCTTGGAACAACATAGGTTCAATTCATTTCAATAATCTTCAGTGGCCTCAAGATCCTTGATGAGGAATCTTTTCATGTGAGAAAATGCCACTGAGAAGGAAGCGCGATAACAGCGGCATTCGGTGGGACTGTGGGCTGTTGTGTTGATAATATCGGTAGACATGTCAAAGCCTTGAAACCTGTCTTCTAGGAGGTGGCGAGAAGCCGCTGTCTTGAGACGGGCATGGGGTTAAGCGCTCAGGCCCCATGCGCGTCGAACTGAACAGAAACACCCAAGTTGGCTGCCAGCTCTCTTTACATTTGCTTTGCAATTCTTCCTTTGAACGACACAAGGGAAT